CTTATGTGCAGGGCCACCAGATCGTCGGTGAATATCTTGCTCAGGTTCAATGCCGGGCTGGCTATCAGTTTCCTGAGCTTGTCTTCCTCTTTCGACCGGACCAGCTTCACGGTCACGCGTTTCCTCAAGTTCTCCATCTTACCGAACACCGAGTTGTTCATGAGCTTGTAGAGGTTCTTCTCGAAGTCACTGGTGGCCCTCTTTCGCAGGTCCATGTTTATTCTGATATAGGGCTCCATCCAGGGGCTTTGGTTGAACTTGAGCACCCTATGAATTTTAGTCAGCCTCATACCCAGCGACAGGTACAGCTGCAGGTTGCGATAGTGAACGATGTACTTGGTTTTGGTCATCAAGTTGGGTACGAGTTTTTCAACGTTGACCGGCTTATTACCCCCCAGCAAGTTCCGTTGGTAGTCAGACTTGCAGTCTGGGTCCACCATCAAACGTTCTGGAGCCAGGGGGCAGCCGTTGTGTGACTTGTGTAATGCTGCTGGATACTCCAAGTACACTTCGAGTATGTAACCCTTCCCCGAATCCGGCGGTATGCTCATGACGTCTATCTCAGGCACCCACTCGAATCCCCCGGTGGGTAGATACTGGCTTATGGCCGAGCCGTACAGGTTGTTGGCATCGAGGTAGAGGATGTGGGTGGTGGGCTTGCTAGAGTTGTAGCCCTTCACGTACTTATTGTTGGCTCTTGCGTACCGTTTGGAGGCCATGGAGATCTCGCCTTGCAATCCTTTCTCAATGAACAGGTGCATGTTGTGCATGTGAGTCACACATGTGGTAGTGAGTGCTGCAGCCGTGAGCTCGCCGGTCGGCTTGGGTCATACGCATTGAAACAACGGTGTACAAATTTTTCCTGATGGTTTTCTCTTCCTGTTGCAAGCACATGAGAAATTTTTCAGCCGCGTCGGGACCTCTGTACACCACGGGAGCGTTCGTTTTCCCATCACATCGGACGACCACGTATCCGAACCCACAGGCCTCATGCTCCTGCGTTTTGTGCGGGTTGGGGGATGGCCTGATGTCAACGGGTTTGACGAGGGCTCAGAAGTCGGCGTAGATGATGTAAGGTACGGGCATCTGGTTCTTGTGGTTGTCAAATTTTAGCGTGTTGTCACCTTCCTTGGGCATGTCGATTCGTATGGTCGTCTGCCCCACGCCTATGCAATCCTCCCGGTGGGATTCCAGCAGGTCGGCCGAGGTGAAGCAGTGCAGGCACCGTTCGCAGAAGTGCCTCTTTTCTCTGTGTGCCGATTTGTCATACAACAGCCTGCTGAAGTGTTTTATCCACACGTAGTGGCACTTGTCACCTCGCTGGATCATGAATATATTGATCACCGGGCTGATCCTGTGCACGATCGTTTTGTTGCCTTCGTGGCCAAAGACGTTGATGGCTATGGTGTTCTGTTTCTCGATTTTGGTGACCTGAGATATGGGGATGAGTTCGTCTATACCATCCCAGTTGAGCCCGTCGTCTTCGGGGTAGCTCAAAGGTCTGTTCGAATTAACGTCGGCCGGAAACAAGGCGATTCTGATAGCTACCCTCATGCAATCGTCTCCTGTTTTTGACGTTGACCATGGCTTGTTTTTTCTTGTAGTAGGGGGGTAAGTCTAGGTACGATCTGCCTCTGAACGGTGCGTTAGCTATATCTAGATAGACCTTATCGATTTTGTCCACGGCCCACCCGGAACCCCTGTGCATGTAGCGTTCCAGGTATTCTCGTATTTGCTGAAGCGCAGTGTCGATGGACGCGTCTATCGTCTCAGGTTGAGTCGCGACTTCTTGTTTACCCCTGAAGTAAGGCTAAACGTACTCTGTGCTGCCGTCTACCTGCTGTTTATCGAGCAAGATTTTCACCGTGATCTGGAATTTGAGGCTCCCCAGGTCGGTTAGTTCCTCGTTAACTTTGCCAGCTTCAGGGCTTTGACGTCGTCGATGTCTATGTTTTGGCCTACATTCATACGCCAGCCCCTCAGGTAGTTACCTATAGCGTGTTCAGTCCGCACGAACCGTAGCTCCAGGACAGTAGACATTGTTATATTCAGGTGTATACAATCTCTAATTGGACCACTGGCTAAGTAAGGGAGGTAACTCCTCCAGCCTTATCTAGGTAAACAAAATACGGAGGCACCCATAAAATCCTTAGTAGTATTTCACCTTGAGCAGATGGAGGGCTGGTACCAGTAGATCCATTTCAGCGTCGTAATCGGCTATACTTAGGTAGACCGTTTTTATTCTGTACTCAACCTGGGGGAAGCGTTCCAGGTGTTCTTGTATACTTCGTAATGAGGTGTTGAGGTACTTATCCAGCTCAGGTTGAGTTGTGATTTTTCGCCCACCTGTGATGGGGAAGGTATACCTGACGCCCCCCTCAGCCCATGTCATTCTCAGTGTGAACCAAAATTGGAAGCGTCCCAGGTCATTCAGTTCCTCTTCGAGTATACCGGTGATCAAAGGTTTGATGCCTGTGATGGGTATGCTTTCGGCTTTGTTCATCCGCCAGCTTTTCAGGTAACCTTCCGGGGTTATGGTAGTTCGCACAACACAGGCATCATTATACCTAGGTGTACACAGTTTTTAATTCGGCCTCTGGCTAGGGAAGGGAGATAACTCTGGCTAGGGTGCAAAAAAAATAATGAGGGCCCTTGCACTTCCAGCCTGAGGAGGCTCCTACGTTCGTTAATGTAGTCCTTTTTCTTCTCGTAGATAACCTGGTGCCGGACTACGTTTGCCCCGTGGGCTTTACATAGGCAGTAGTGGCATTTCACTCCGATGCCGCACAGGGAGCACGTGTAGTTCATGAAACACCTCCTATGAACAGCAGTACCCCTCAGTCCTCCATCTCCTACCGCAGGTCTCGGTTTTCCCCATAAGCACGTACTGGCATCGATACAGGGCAGGTCTCGCTCAGCGATGAAGTCTTCTGACCCATGGGAGTCGAACTCAAAATTAACGACTCGAACGGCACGGTCGTGTTAACCAACAACAGAAAACACATCTTGAGACTCAGTCAGCCGTTGGCGAGAATATCTTATAAAATATATTATATACACAGGATGGGGCTGTACCCAGTCGTAGAAGAAGTAGCAAAAACACTGGAAACCGTAGACGGGTTTCGTTTGAGACAGTTATGTGACATAAAACGCCAACTAGAACCAGATCGCGACATACGGAAAGCATTATGTAAGAAGTACCATAGGGCTTTCAATTTCGTGGACGGGGCCGATACCGCCCATAAACAACCAGCATGGGATTAGGAGCGGTAGGTGTTGGGTTGTTAACCACCATCGTAGCCGCACCTATAGTGCTAAGCATTGAAATAACAGCTGGAGTGTCAGGGTTGGTGGGGTTGGTGTTTATGATTGCATCTCGCAAGTTACATCGTAAATCGTTGAAACATGACGAGATCAGGGTTCTGGCTGAAGCAAAGCTGAACACGGTAAGTGAGCGTATTTCCACGGCACTCGCTGACAGTAAAGTCTCCGAGGATGAGTTTCGTTTGGTCCTCTCTGAACTTGAAAAGTATCACAAGATGAAACAAGAGATTCGGTCCAAGTCTTGTAAAAGCACTGTCATCAGCGAAGACGAGAAAAAAAAGTACATAGAACAAGGGGTACAACAAGGCCGACAAGCCTTCATTACGAAAACCAAAGAAATCATAGGCGATTCACATTAAATTGTTTCGTTGAGGCCAATATTATATAGGGCGATCACAATAGTGGCACGTGACCAGGAAGTTGGATGGGGATTCAAAAGCGGTATATACACTAGTGGAAGAGATCAGGGCCTTTGGCAAAAGTGATCTCGTACCCCCAGTGTATATACTACTGCAGTTGTTGTTGATGATGATGCTTTCTCATCCTATCTTGTCTGTAGGTAATCAAGAACCGCAAAACTGACCATCTGGTTTTGGTTGAAATTCTGAAATGTCATTTAAATCTGTCTGTGGCTAACATTGAAATCCTTTATAGTTGGCTACTGAGTCACGTTGGTATTCTGTGGAATTCTAAGGCAGATTCCACAGCTAAATCTGCTCTTGAAAAGTTAGTATCAAGCAACATTCACTGACATTTGAAAGAAATCAAACAAGAAATAAGAAAGTAAGATTGTTTATGGATAACAACTTCTTTTATTATATATGATGCGATGTTTCGGTATGGATTCTTATGCCGTTGTCAAGCAAGAGTGAAGTACTACAGCACAGAACAGACTTCCATACATCAACAGGGATTAAGTAATAACAACATGTAGGTATGAATCAAGGGGATTAACAACAACAAGGCACGGTGGTAGTAATGTAGTGACAATAGGAGGAAGCCAATGGTCCCAGAGGCAGAAACACAATATACATGGCTGATGAGTATAATTAGCAATGATAGCTGGAGTGCTCTAATCTGTTGTTTCACGGAAATCAAACAATATGATAAGATGTAGATTTTAGCTCTGAATATCTGTTTTTACAGTTTGCTGTGATATGGACTGGAGTTTTAGTGATCTTTATCATCACTTTTATTGCATATTCGTTTACATACTTGAATATTTGTTTTCTAGCCACGAATAGCTGCAAAATTACATTTACTTACTAACACTTCTCAATTCATGTACCAAGACCAAAGCAAATATCCCACAATATAAACACAAAACAAATTTCAAGTAGCAAAACACTATCAGGTATAGTTATCATGTAGCAGGAACATTTGGATATTCAATAACTTTCAACACCCTCGTTTCACTAAATAGCATGACAATATTTCTTGATTTAAAAACAAAACTTCACTGAAAGAATACTGAATGAACATATTTTGTTGATTTGAAACCAATACACCCAACAGATTCCTCATGAAAAGAGGTTGTGAAGAAAACTGCATAGCAGCAGAATATACTGTGTTTTATTAACAACATTCTACATAACCAGATATCATTATACCTCATTGTACTTACATGGTATAATTTTAACTGATTCACTTGTATGATAAAACCAAGAACCAGTACCTTTAAAATTAATGGTTTATTCACTGAAACAAACTTTTAGACATGACACTCTTGAATTCATACACACTGTATAACCAGGGCACTTGTGGACGGATTCACTATACAATTGTGAAAAGGCATAATTTCCAGCTTAACATTTTAATGTATATATTATTGCAACTAAGCTATGAACACCAAACATTAGATGTGGACAACAATCTCAAAATATGCAAATAATCACTTAGTTCCCAGAATCAGGTCCATGTCATTAATTGGTTGAGCCACAGTGAGCCAGCTTTCCCATATTGTTTCTCTTATCCATAATCCAAACAACACACAGACACAATTTTGTGAATAATTGTTTAACGCCAATGTAAAAAGTAAGACAGAAAATTAACTTCCAATTTCATATTAAGTTTATGTACCATGCAAATTGTCTTTCACCAAAGCAAGGGACAGGTAAACAAGCCAGTAACAGAAAAAGATATAATGTGACCCAGGATATGAACATCATATAACTCTGTTGTAGTCGGTGACATGTCAAACTGTTTTTGTGACAATGACATAATATGTTCAACAGTTTTAAAGGTTTTCAGGCTTTTGCTAACAAATGGACAGACATGGAACAAGGACTCAAGACAAATTCTAAAACTTACTTAGTCAAGGCAGTTTATGAACAACATGATATCCTTTTGGTCTTCTCAAAACGTACACTGAAAGTCTGATACAAATATCACTATTTTTTATGAAATAACACAGAATGAAGATAGCAAAATGCACAAACAACTAAATCAATAATAATGATAATAACAGACAACAAAAACAACCCATTGCAAATTATGATATATGTGGCTTTACATTTTCTTAGGAAAATATGAATCAAAATCCTGCATGGGACTCAAAGTGTAAGGCAAGAAACATCAAACAGTTTATCAATGATAATAATTCAAAGATTACTACCAGTACCTTTCATACAGAATAGCCAGGAATCTTATACTTCAGCTGTCATCACACTATTAAGAGCAGTCCCCTTCGCTGTCAACTATTCTAAGTTGAGGCTACTAACAGCATCTCCCTCCCTTAACCTCTATCTAAAAGTTGGCCAGGAAAACCTCACTGCTTTCCAAACTCTGATGTCTGGATGCATGAAATAGGAAAGTGGGTGATGTAATTTACTAGTAGTTAGAATTGTTTGAATTATTAGCATTGATATCAACTGTTTGATAATTCTTATGAATAACATTTTAATTGAATCAGACAGAATAGTAATAGTGACATCCAGTTATACCTCAGAATTTAGAGAGGAGAAAATTTAACCTCCATTCCATGAATTGTTTCCTCTTTAAGCAAGCCTAATGGTTCCTAAAACAACTGATCGAAGTACCATCATATATTTTGGTCCAAATCCTCACTTGTGATCCATCAAAGTATAACCATCGATGACATGACAGTGGCCTTTGACTTTATTCCCCGGACTTCTGAGCATGATACCAGGCAATAACCTATGACCCCTCCTACACCTTGTAGACAAAAATACCGGTAGTTCTTTAGGTTGAAGTTACCATGACACAATACACCACTGTAGGACAGGGCTGTAAAGCTATTGTAAATCTGCTTGTATGAATGACTAAAAATGTGGCTTCAGTAATGTTTTTATCCGAGGTCTCAGATGAGATGATAAAAGATATTTTTTCCTCCCATTCTAAAATAAAATTAAAGAGCATGAAAAGGACATGCCTGCCACTCTTACAACTCCATGCCATGTTGAGTGTGGGTATGTTATGTCCTAACTATCCAGGACCTGTAAACTGGTTCTTGCCTAAGGACTCTGATAGGGTTTTGATAGATATATTACTCTGATTTTCTGGATGCATGATGCCTGAGAAGTCAAGAGAATGGACCTGTGAGACTGCAGCTGCTGTGGCCATGGCTAAAAGAAAGCTGCTTCATGATCTTTTTTAACCATGTTGTCTATGACAAAGGTTCATAGAGTTCCCTTGACAGAGCAGACAAAATGACAGACAGGTTCAATATTGGGAATGTCGGTGGAGTTTTGCAATTCCCAAAAAGAGAAGAATTATTAGGAGTTTGTTGAGGATGGAATGATTCATAGTCAGTCCATTGTTTTGGAGACCAGAGGGTACAGCAGACCTGTATTTTGATGGTGACAGAACTGGCTGAAATGGAACTGGAAAGCAGCCCCATAGGAATGGTTACAGTTCCCATCTCCACTCCTCATCCTCTTTGCCATTGCCAGAACTTGTTCCATCTGTTTTAAATAGGCACAGAAGACCTTAATTTACTTTATAATGCGCTAAACTCCATTCACTAGGTGGATGCTCATAGCGCTAACAATCTGACTATTATTACCCCAGATAACCCAACCTGGAAGTGAGGCGCTAGGTTATTAGTCACAAGACTTATCCCTATTCCCCATTTCAACAATAAATCTGTCTAGGTGAGACCAGGGAGAGAACCCCGGAACTGCAATGATGTATACATGTCAAACAAGTCCAGGAAAGTTGTGTCCCACTTCAATATTTTCAAATAGAATACCTGCAAGCGTACAGACCATTATGTAGACTCTGTAAGGTGATCTCTGTTTCTTTCTGATGGCTGTCATATTTGGATCAGCAAATTCACTGGACTAGTGATGGTTGTCTGTCATTTTAAAGTGACCACTTCTGACAAGTGGATGAAGAGCATGTAATCTAGGCCAACAACATGTTTGCACCTAAGGTAAAGAAACGATTATCCTCTTCAGGTGTATTGAAGGATAATAACTATAGAGTCTTTGCAGAATATGTTACTTGTAAGCTGCAATCACAGAGTGACAACAACCAAACTTATGTGCTATGACAACACATAAAAAAAGTTCAGGACACAAGCACAGACAGGAAAGAAGGAAGATTTTCCCCCCTCAAGCATGCTGATGAGGTGTGGGTTGCAAGATACTATTACTTGTAAATAGGTATGGACAGTGAAGAAGACTTTTATTAAAAATCTGAACATTATATAACATGATGACTAAAAGATATATATGATTTCTGACAATTGTGTTCATTCAAGATTTTTCAGGCAGAAAGCAGAATTACAGTAATATTGCCTTATTTCAAACGGTAAAAAATAATTTATGATGTAAATCACTACTTATTATTCAGTTTCTAATTTAAAATAGCATATGATTTGACACAAACATGACAATATTTCTTGGACGGTATATACTGTAGTCTTCGGCAATCTTGCAAATGTTGAGCGACAGTCTTTTGGTTATCCTACCATCTGTCAGCATGACCAACTTTGTTCCTGCAAAGCAAACAAATAACAGTTAACAATAAAATTACTTTTCATTGGATTAATTTGCGTTTCTTTGTTTAATGATGCAGAGAGCAATATTCCGTCTTTTCCATCACTTTCAGCAAATAACTGATGACCAGACTGGTTAAGGTACCGGTAAATGAAGCACAGTCACCAAGCCTGTTAGTTGCCTCTTCCAAAAAGCACAGGCTGCCCTATATTCTAACCCAGAATTACCAAGGGGCTTTAAAAATAATTGAAATAACATTGCACAAAGGCACTATTGTTCACCAGTAGCATAAGTGATACAACTATTGTTGGGTAAAATGGACATAAAGTTTTAACTTTCATTATGGCTAACATCACTGAAGCATTGAAAAGCATTGAAGACCATGTCTTGAAAGCGCTACCTGGTGATAAGATATTTGAGGAAGAGTTAGTGTGTCAGAACCCACAAAATGAAACAAGAGTTTTGATCAGTCTAGTAAGACCAGTATCATTAGTGAAGAAGGCCCCCCAAAAGTTCATTGAACAGGGGAAACGAGCCTATCAAGCATTCCTTACCAAAACACATGAACTGGTAGGAGATTAATGATGAATTGTTTCCCCCAAATAAATTTTTATTGATGGTAGTTCTACTTGTTAAGAAAATATCTGAAATAGTAGTGGTTGCATTTTTTTAAAAACAGGGCATCTCTGTATAATAGTAGTATAGACGATGAGAAAATGTGCACCACTCACCACAGCCCCACTAACAAAGGACAAATTTAGTGGGAGCAGAACTGGAGTGAAAAGGAACAATTACATGTATTGTTAGTAATTTGCTAGTAAACTTGCCTCTGGGTTATGGTTGCCTTTTATCTGTGGGTACCACTGAGACATACAGAAATGGAAATGAAATTTTAAACTAAGTCATAGTTATCTCTAGTGGTATTCCTATGTAGACAAGTGATTATCTCCCCTTGCTGTGGCGATTTTTATGAACTATCTTCTGCAATAGAAATTGGGGAGGGATTCAAACCTAGGTCCTTTTCCTCTGCCTCTGAAGTTGTTTGAGGCTCCACAGTTTGATGAAGATGCAGATCGCGATGTAGTGTCTGACGCCTGGTCGTAAGCTGACCTCTGTAAAGATTCCGAACGTCCCGACGGCGGAGGGCAAGATACTGTAGAAGAGGTAGTATCTCTTCTTCACCTCTAAACATATTCTGTGCCAGGAGTGCTGAGGCTAGCTTCTGATCTTGTTTCCTAGTAGTGATGGCATCCTTCGTCTTGATAGCCTGTTGGCACTGGCCGTTAAAAGTAGACAAGGATTTAAAGGCTGTTGAAAGAGCTGGTCCTTATTGAACTTGGCTTGTATAATCGGTCAAGAGCTGTTAACTGGCCCACTGCGTAAATTTGATTCTGTGTAGCATCTGATACACGACCCCCAGAAAGGAGTGCGCCAAGGCAGCCTCACTAGCTGATGTAGATACAAGTGTGGCCTTTTTAACTCCTGAATAGTCCTGGAAAATAGGAGGTTGTAATGCACAAACTTCCGCCACAAACCAGTTCACATAAGAAAGGATATCAATGGTTTTTTCTAACTCCCGTAATTCCCTTGAGTGACATGTGATGTAAAATCCTTCAAGGTTCAAGATTCAGGCTGGTTGAAATCTCTATCTAGCTCTGGTGGATGGCCAGGTATTGTCCAATCATGAATGGCATAAACTGTTTTAGTGTGTACTTTGGGTAGATTACGGTATTTAATATAATCTTATTTCTAGCCTCAGGTAATTGCATGTTGGAGTCTAAAGCCGTTTTCACCACTGACAAATTGGGAAGTGATAACCTAGGAGTCCATTCCGGTGGAAGACATCCCAAAGATCCAAGTTCAACAGATATCTCAAAGTCCGGCTCGTCCGATGAAGGAGGCATAGTACAAGGATAAAGTCTATGAATAAACTCCAGCTCTTCTCGGAATATCCAACCCTGCATATAATCCTCTGTCGTAGTGTGCATAGACGGCACAGTCAGTAACCCCTCTTTCATAATCAACTCCGGATGAGAGAAGCACTGAGGCCTTCTCAATCTGATTGGCAGGTTATCCGCGTCAATGTGCAGCTGTGTCAAAGGATCTTCTAAGCCGGGCCAACCGACCACACTGACTACCCATGGCCATGGTAGCCGTCCGCTGGTAGTCCGCCGCATAGCCAGTTCTCACTGTACTTGCCGTAGTAAAGGTTATCTCACTCTGCGTTGATCCGATGCGTGTGAGCCGTATAATATATATGTTTCACTGGATCAACCCAGTAAGGCTTTTGCGGCTCTGACCCAGTCCGTGTGGGAAACGGTAGTAGGGTCAACTGTAAGTGGTTTAAACCCAGGGACATAGTCCCACACACTCGAAACCTTTCGCGTCTTCCACCGGAGGTATCGGACACCAGCTTGAGACAGGGATGATACTCAGCTTTCCCATGTAGAGCACCACCATGGTCTTGTCGGCATCTCTTGAGTCTGAACTTCTCGCAGCCGATTGGCTAATAGGATCAGTCATCTGAACTAGATGCCTCTGAATATTTAAGAATTTTGCAGCGTTATGTGACTATTTCTTTTAGGGACTGATTCATAGTGGCATTTACATCTTGTATAAATGACAAAAATAGAGCTATAATGGCATCAAGATCTAACTTGTCAGATGACGAACGTGACTTGGGCTTGGATTTGCTTTTTTATTCTGATTTAATAGAAATCGTAGAGGAGCGAGAGGAGGAATTAGTGCATTTAGAGAGCTCCGAGGACAAGGAAAGCTTCCTTTTCTGCTTCCTTTTCTCAGACAACAAATGAGAAGTGTCCATTTTCTGCCAGCCATCATTTGATATTCCCTGACATAACAAACATGGAGCTTGCAAGGTACACCCCGTAAGGCAAGCCGCACATAAGGAATGAGGGTCCAATTTCGACATAAACTTTTGACATTGGAGGCAATTACATTGTGACATGATGTTTTGGTGGGAAAAGCTGAGTCAGTGATAACAAAGAAATATCACATAAATTCACTCAAACATGAGGAATGTGATTGTTCAGTATAAACGTTGAATGAACGTTGGTGAACGCTGAAAACTGGAAGAGATAAACAAACTTGAAGAAAACTTGAATCACTTCCAAATCTATAACACAACTTGTACATGGCCCACACAGAAACATTATGGAGGTTTTCATAATGTGGTGTCACAGCAAGCGTAGATAATCACTTGTCTACATAGGAATACCACTAGGGATAACCATGACTTAGTTTAAAATTTCATTTTCATTTCTGTATGTCTCAGTGGAACCCATAAATAAATGGCAACCATAAACCAGAGGGAACATAATTACGCTTAATAATGGAAGGTTGGTCCAGTTTTCTCATTGTCTATCATACTTCCAGACCAAACACTACCTTGACTATTGTCATTATTTTTCAGAGCAATAGCATTGTAGGATATGCCAACGTCATTGATGCTGTTATTGCTCAGTGCATGAACTAAATCCATTCATAAAAAGAAGGTCAGGGCTAAGATATTTCTTGCAAAGAGTCTTCTCTTGATGATCTGACCACTCATTGGTGGATCTGAATCTGAAAGGATGCTGCTTCTCCTTATTTCTAGACAAGTATGATTAGGTAGACACTATCCCCTATATAGGTTCAATGTTCTCTTATCTTACACCTTCTGGAGATAAGTGATTGAGTGAGTGACTTAGTTTTACTCCGCTTTTAGCAATATTCCAGCAATATCATGGCGGGGGACCCCAGAAATGGGCGTCACATGTGATATTGTGCCCATGTGGGTGTAGAGGTGAGAGTGTTAGTAGGTTTTGATCCATTGCAAAACACACCTTCCAATTTCTTGACCTTGGGTGATGATTTCTGATAAGACTTTTTGGCTGATCCTTGCAGCCTCTTTAATGCATTTGTGAGCTTGTGGTATTATTAACTTTTAATGTCTTTTCTTTAATAATGTCCTTGCAAGAAGTACATCTTGCCTAGGTTGTGCCTTGTGCATTTCCAACTCTCAGAGCAACACTGAACGTGTATACTAACTACTTTTGAGAACATCTATAATTGTTGCACGCAGTTATTAACAACTAACTAGAAGTCAAAATGAAATATTTTGATGTCAGCACACTCAGGACAAAAGTGAAGTTTATCTTGCGGGTGGCTGTTGTTATAAGGATAGAGTGTACCTCAAAACTAATAAGATGAAATGGCTGTAACTAGTATGTCTGTTGAAAGATGTAAGAGATTGTATAGAGTGATGACAGACAAAACAGAAATTTATGGATATTGATTAGATATTTAAAAGAATTTCAAATTTCTGGTTTCCTCAAGGAAAGGGAACAGAACTTACATGAATTGGCCACCAGAGCCATCCCACTGGCCTTCAGAGGTCAACAGTGAACTGTTATCAATCTATGGACAACTGGATATACCACCAGATGTGCTATGACATTATTGGTTTACTTAACTTTGAAAAAATATAATTTTCAAACTACACCCAACACACCAAACTGTATTACATTTTGAACATAATCACCAAAAATAGATTTTTCAATAAGGCTGCTGTGGGAAATTCAGATGTCATCGTAAGTAGTAATAAGCATGTGATGCTAGCATTATTGGTCATATCAGGTGAGCTAAAATAACACAGGCAAACAAAAATAGACAACATACTTGCCAAATATTGGTCCATTTAAGTCAGCAACACTGAAAGAAGAAATGACTTGTAAGAAAAACACATAAAATATGTATAGAGTATAATGTGTGTGTGTGTGTTATTCCTAAATGGAAATATCAGTTAGAATCAACTGGATATTTTGTAGGTTTCTTAGAAGAAAGATGCTACGAATACCAGTAAATGCATCTCAAGAAACTGCAATGTAGAAATATAAGGTGATGTACAATAGACAGTACACATGTGTAGGGGGAAGATATCAGAAAAAAAAGATATACTGAAAGCCATTAAAAAAACGCAATTGGTATTTGTTGTCCTGAAACTTACAAAAGTTCTATTGAAGATTTTTTCCTGCGATACAGAGGATGTAGGGATAAAAGGCTGTTATTCTGGCCCATTTCGAGTTCGAGTCCCGGAGCATTCCTCTCACATGAACTTTGATACTTAAAACTGAACCTTTGACATTTCTCGTAAACACAACCACATTCATGAAACACGTTGTGCACATGCATTACCTGCACCCAGGCCCTGTAAAAGCACAAGGAATTGTGGAACTCAATCACTTTGAGAAAATGCCACACTTGACACAAGACGAAAGGAATCAGGTTATCGGTATGGTCAGCCAAGGTGCTTCAGATGTGATGATTGCCAGGCACTTTAATGTGCATCCATCCACTGTAAGTCGACTCAGACAACGTTTTCGGGCTACCGGAAGTGTTGCTGATCGTCCGCGACCTGGTGCACCACCTGTGATAACAGCTCGACAAAACCGCAATATCCGAGTTTCACACTTGCGAAATCGGTTCCAAACAGCTGATGATTAGGCAAGGAGGACAATTGGGACAAGTCAACGTCATTTCAGCGCCCAAAAGGTGCAAGGACGCCTTGCTGCCTTCAACATCCGGTGTCGTCACCCGTACCGTGGTCCAACCTTATTGCATCGCCACAGACTTGCCAGACAGCGATGGGCAGCAAATGGGGCCAATCTTGGCAACAGGACATGGCCAGATGTCATTTTTTCAGATGAATCCAGGTTTAACTTATCCTTTGCAGATGGACGTCAACAGATTTATCGACGTAAAGGAGAAAGACTTGCGCCAAACTGTGTCCTTGAACATGATCGTTTTGGAGGGGTGGTGTCATGATCAGACCACAGACCATCAGAGGCTGCAGACCATCCAACAGCTGTTCCTGAGAAATGTGTGTCTTTCAATGCCCCAAAGACTGCGAGCATGTCTTGCAGCGCACGGTGGACACACACGATATTGACTGCAAGTGACCCCTCCTTTGTGTGATGTCGTTGTTGCGTCACTGATGTTGTTGTTGACTGGACATTTTCAGATGAAATTATTCACAGATGTTCACTTAAAACATATCTGCCAGTTAGGTTTATATATGTTGAAATTAGTGTGAGTAAAGAAAGTATGAATGTCAAATTGCATTTTTAATGGCTTTCAGTATGTGTACATTCAGTCAATAGCTCATAACAGTGACATGGTTTTCAAACGAGTTTTATTCCTGACTGTCTTGCCTTTCAAGTTTCATTCATATTACAGGTAGTAGAAGTGATAGATATATACAGTAAATGAAAAAGCCACCAGTTTCATCTGTGGGAAGACTCCACAACCTGCTACATACTCCCAGGTCAACAGAAGTAACATCCCAGGTTGCTTAGTAGGTTACTGAGACTTGGCTCAAGTATAATATGAACCACCTGTCACCAATGTTGTGGCCATAAAATGTCTGGGATTGGGATTCCAACCACAGATCTTCTTATCCAAAGACAGACACTTTATCCACATGACCATTTGGTTAACCCTGTCAGTAAGCTGATTATTGACGGGTACTGTCATTGATCTTACTTCCAAAAAATGATTTTTCATAAAATTATTTTCTTTTGCATTATAAATTTTAAAAAAAGGAATACAGAATTGTCTGATATACATGTTAACTATCAGTATTTTCACTTAAGGTTTACTGAACACGGAAACGTTAAACACTAAAATGGAAAAGCTATTTAGAGATGTATTACAAATAGAAGCAATCGATGTCTACCTTTAGTTAATGTAAAACAAAACTAAAAATGTTGGAAACAGCATAAACACATCAAAACTGCAGGAGAGGTATGTTAAGGATTGTTGATGACCTTTCATAATTCTTGGAATTCATCAACGTACTTTGCACACCACATACATATCAAGATTCTGAAGTCATGTTTGTATTGACGTCCCTGAGCAACTACTTCATTTACTCAAGTCTTTAATGAGTTGCTGGCAAATCAGTTTGAGATCTACTTGCAAGGGAAGGTGAAATCTTCAGAGTCTAGGCCAATTAAAAGGAGAATATATTTTGCTTTTTTGTTTGTTTTTAAATCCTTTGAGCTTCCTGCTCAATAAAAAGGAGGGTTACCATCCCAGACCTCCATAGCTCATATCCCCAACACCACTTACTCATCTCCTTTACATGGATGACATCAGAATCCTTGCCAAAAGAGATGCCAAATTGAAAGAACAGGTTCTTCTTGTTGAGTCCCTTTCCAATGATATTGGCATGACATTTGAACTCAACAAATGCAATGCTCTTCATGCAAAGTATAAATGAAATGTGGCAAGGTATGAATGATGAATAGTTCAATTTAAAACCAGGAGAAATTATCAAGCTTTTGTGAAAGATCTTGGAATGCAAGTTCAAGACAAGCTCCAGAATGTCCCATTCAAGACAAACATTGGGCTGAGTATAAATCTCACTTTAAGAAAATCTAAATGCTTGAAACAATGTCAAAGCCACAAATACTTTGTGCCAGTCCTTTCCTATTCCTTTGGAGTAGTTGACTGGACAAAACAAAACAGCCAGACTATTGACTGCCTGACATGGAGGATCAATTTGGGAGGTTGGGGTGTGATTAATGTACAGGTTCTTCATGATCAAATTTTATTTTGCACATTTTTATTTATCTGATGATCCTCTGGTGATACATCTCAAGACTCAGGAAGAAAGCAAGGAATTCCATCATTATATCCATACTTATTTATTTGGTTATGGTGTATATTAGTGAAAAGTGTACAAAAATGTCTGGTCGTCATATGCATACACCAGATGCTCAATTTTAGAATTAATCTCTTCTGGTGGGCCAGAAAGAACCCTTATCATACCTCATCCTTCAAAATCAATAACATTAACATCAAACTAAATAATGATTTAACTGAAATCGTAAACAAATTATTGACAACTATACCAACCTATCACATATGATTTAACCTATAAAAAGATTAATTAAATCATTTACAGACCAACTGAAGAGGAAAGGTCATATCTACAGAATATATCAACAAAACTAAAGACACATATATCACAAAATCAAGATATTTCATTTTCAGAATGTAACATAAGACACAGCAGAAATAACATCATCTGTGTGCCTGATAGATCTTTCTTAAATTTTGGAGAAAAGTAACAATCTGACAGTGACAAATCTGGTGATTATGGAATCTATTCCATGAGTTCAGAGCAACAGCCAGCACTGCAGAACATGTGAAAAAAGGCATGCACAGGTTCATTATCCTGAGAAGACCACATCTTCTGTGACTTTAATCCTTGATAATCTCCTGCAGCTTCCTGAGTTTAAAGTGTTATATCTGGGACATGTCAACAGAGCCTGTGCATGGTAGTGATTCTAAAGCAGCATTAAAGCATTGGAAGGATTATGCAAAACATTATGGGTGGATTGAACATTCCTCAGAACTGAGAAATTTCAACCACCCCCTGTACCTTACACTTGCACAGATATTTGCATAATATGAACAGTGTGCATGCCTGTGAAGGCTACTGTTGCTTTGCTGTCATTCAACCTTCTGGAAAAGGGTGGAATATCTTAACAATGTAAGAGATATTTCCAACAGCCTCTTGTCATACAATTCAATAAGATTACAACTTACCTTGCAATAGTTCAATGTTGGATGACTTTCGCTACAGTCTTATTAAATGTAAAGAACATAATACAAGACCTTCTTGCATAATTCAATATGGATATGTTGACACACTATCCCAAGACAGATCACAATGAGGAGATGTACGAAGGTTGGTGGTTTAGCATATGTACTGGACATACCATTTTGATACTGATTTTAAGTTAGGACCTAAGGTTATCTATAACAGCAGCTTACCCGTGGTCATATCCTCAGCTTATCAATGGTCATATCTGATATGTGAGGGGCTAACATGGCACATTGTTGTTATCATTATTTTCCCAAAGGTCAGAAGGCAACACAATTTTCTCTTAACACATACTTTTAGTTCAGTGTATACATTCATAAAATTTTATCGAAAGAAAAATTGGCACTGCAATATAGTATTCATTTTATATGGAAACAGATCAAAACATAATGTTTGTTGTGATACCAACCAGTCTTGTGGAATGTTTAACTTAAACAGCATAAAATGTGGCAAATATTTATTACATGACAGTGTATATTGTTTATAGCCATCTTGCAGCTGTGGCTTTCAAGATGTCCTTGTATGAAGTCATTTTACCCCGCTATAATACGCCATTCTGACAAATGACAAATTTAAATGTTGTACTGACGTGAGATGCCACTGCAACCTCTCCATGTGCTGTACTGAATACATACCACTCCATGATTCTGAAGTCTCTTGATTGTATTGACCTGCCTGAGAGAATACTTCATATGCTGGTCTACTCAACTTGTGATTTACTCGAGTACTCGCAAGGGCAGGTCCAGGCTTAAGTCTGTTCAACTGAGAAGGGAAATATTCCAGGGGGGACTAATTTGGTCCCTTTAGCTATTTTGTCTGTCTGTACAGCTCATATTGTTTTACGTAAGTATGATTCACCATGACCTCTCCTTGGACTGTGTGGCCTTTTGTGAATGATCTGTTCATTGTATGTCAATACTGGTTCCATTACAGTCTTGAGTGGCAAGTTTGAATCTGTGAACCCTGTTGTGTAACAGGTCACTGGCCTGACTATTTAATTCACTTTATGGCTGCCTGTGAAGTAGGTTCTTCAAAGCTGATTTGACGTCCTTCTTCACCTGTACCCAGGTTTACCAACCTGTTTTGTAAAGTGTTATCCTCTTCAATGGATTGACAATATGACAGACAACAATCAGTACTTCATAAATACACCATTTCACAAGATTTAACGCATGTACAGATTTGGAGGGAGCATGGTATCTCATATATTCCAACATCTATGGTAATATCTCTTCCTCCAACTTTGACCTCCTCGATTAAATCTACAAAAGAATGACTGTGTTCATAAAGGATGATTCAGCAATGTATTGCAGGCTAGCTGGTCCCCTTGCAGTTTGTAATCTAACGATTTCCTCACATTAAGTTAGATCCTTCAGCAAGGTGCTGACTTAAGTCTGATTCTTCCAACTCTCTGGTCAGAGAAACTTGACCCCACTTCAGTTTGATTCTTCTAACTCTATGGTCATACATGCTTGACCCCACTTCAGTCTGATTCTTCCAACTCTCTGGTCAGAGAAACTTGACCCCACTTCAGTTTGATTCTTCCAACTCTCTGGTCAGAGATGCTTGACCCAACTTCAGTCTGATTCTTCCAACTCTCTGGTCAGAGATACTTGAGCCCCCTACTTCAGTCTGATTCTTCCAACTCTCTGGTCAGAGATGCTTAAGCTTTAGCCCACTAGAGATACTTCACCCCACTTCAGTTTGATTCTTCTAACTCTCTGGTCAGAGATGCTTGACCCCAATTCAGTCTGATTTTTCCAACTCTCTGGTCAGAGATACTTGTCCCCCCACTTCAGTCTGATTTTTCCAACTCTCTGGTCAGAGATACTTGACCCAACTTCAGTCTGATTTTCCAACTCTCTGGCCAGAGATGCTTGACCCCACTTCAGTCTGATTCTTCCAACTCTCTGGTCAGAGATACTTGTCCCCCCACTTCAGTCTGATTTTTCCAACTCTCTGGTCAGAAAAACTTGACCCCACTTCAGTCTGATTCTTCCAACTCTCTGGTCAGAGATGCTTGACCCCAATTCAGTCTGATTCTTCCAACTCTCTGGTCAGAGATACTTGTCCCCCTACTTCAGTCTGATTCTTCCAACTCTCTGGTCAGAGATGCTTGACCCCAATTCAGTCTGATTCTTCCAACTCTCTGGTCAGAGATACTTGTCCCCCCACTTCAGTCTGATTCTTCCAACTCTCTGGCCAGAGATGCTTGATCCCACTTCAGTATATCTCCCTTGTCACAGCTTCTCCAGAGGAGGCTTCTCGGCCTGCCTACAGTGACCATGGTGTCACATTACAAACTTCTTAAGTGAAAGTCATTCAAATTTCAATGAGAACTTTTTGCTAAAGTAATTTGCAATGAAAGCATTAAATTAAGACAAAAGAGTGGAGACCCAATATGGCCCTATATATTTATTCTTTGTGCCGAAATCTTAGCAATCATGATTAGAAATAATAGTAGGATAAAAGAAATTCAAATAGGCAACATAAAATCTCTACTGGCACAATTCAGATGACACTTACTTTAGATGGATCTGAAAAATGTCTCTACACTGCAGTGAACACATTTTCTTTTTTTGCTAGATTTTCAGGTTTAAAAGTTAAAGCTAAAATACTAAATTGATATGGATTGGGTCAAAGAAAAGATATAAACTATGTGAGGATTGTAATTTTCACTGGACACAAACACAATTTAAACTACTTGGCATAGAGTTTGATGTGGAATTAGAAAATATGGTTAGCCTAAATTACACAAATAAATTGAAAACAAAAACGAAACTATGGGCAAAGAGAACATTAACACCAATTGGCAGAAATGTAGTATTAAAATCTTTTCTTTCTACCTAAGCTTAATAATCTTTTCAGCAATATACCTACTCCCCCAAAACATATAATAGAAAATTTCAGAAAAATGCTTTCAATTTATGGAATATGGTGCAACATAGAGATCTTGTAGTTGATTTCTGATATGGTCGGAATATGACATTAGCCAACAAGATGAGATGGTAGTTACATCAGAAAAGTTGTGTTTGATGTGAGATTGTTCTGATCTTGATTGCTTGAATTCCCCATATCCATAGAATTATGAAAAAAATGCTAAATAAAATACAATTTTTTTAAAACAGACATCCTCTCCACAAAATAACTGGTGGTCCAGCAGCAGCAGCGTCTGCCATGTGCTACATCATGTCTTTCATGCATCCATGAACTTGAGACAGGTGAAGTATGTCTAATGTGATAGAGGTATATTCCTAATGATTAAATGACTGTTTGATCATAATGATTAAATGACTGTTTGATCATTCTCACAAATCCACTACCTCTATTACATCGTTGCAAGAATAGATACAGCATAGGTTTCATCTCACTTCCAATTGTGATATTGCTTATACCACTACCAATCTCTAAGTGATCCACTGGTGACTCCAATGTTAATGATCAAAGGTTTAGGTAAAAGTTAGTAAAGTTAATGTGGGAATCCCACTAACATCCTGAAAATACTTGTTATATGGAAACCAAAGTCCATGACGCTATGTTGGTGAAAGGCCTGTTACCAAAAGGACCTGTAGTCACAGACTGGTTCGTAGCCATAGACAGACAAATCGCAGCTTATTCTTGGCTTCCATATCTATGATGAGTGAGGCTCAAGTATGCAGTTCAAAGACACTAACTGATGTTGAAGTGGTTAAACACAGGCCGCTATCTTGTTGCATTACTATGGTCTTTGTGAAAGTTTCCTAGGCAGGTCATGATTATGTTTCCAGGCTTGTCACCTCCATACCTTTGTTTGTGGGTTTCTCTGAAGTGATCAAGTCCAACAACACTTTGGTTTTTTTCTCACATCAAACTGACCAGTGATTTTGCCAAAATGCTGTTCAGAAGGATGTACATTCAAATTCACAGTCACATAATGTTTAATGTTGCACAAACCTTTAAGCAACATTGACAGGGATCTTAGCATGTGACCAGAAGAAGAGCCATCACTTAAAATGATAAAAAGGAGCTAAGTATTCTTGTGATTATCAAAATCTGTGTCAGGTTACATAATAAAACCTCTGGTGTGCTTGACCTTTGAGAGTGGGTAACCAAATTTTGTTTAACTGGATGTAATGTACAAAATGATGGAATACTAATGTTCCGTAACAACACGCATTGCATGGCAACATATACTTACGGTAAAGGATTATCAAAGCTGTCAATCATTTCCATCTTTCGGTAGTACTTCGCTAACTTCACAGCAAAGATTACGCTTGGCAAAAAGAAAAAGATACACCAACCAATGGAGAACCAGAATCCATTCTGCAAATATCATACAAAAGTATATATTAATTACATACTTTGACTAAGCACCTAGTGCTGGCATGAGCAGAAGGAACATTTATACAAGACTGCTGGCTGCGTGTGGAAACTTTTTCAACGCTCTTTCTTTCATTTGTGATATATACCATAAATCATGAAATAAATGAAAGCATGAAATTATTGTGAAAAACTGTGAGCATTTTTAACTTGCATTAATTAAATGTCATACTTACATGATGACATTTTGGTGTATACATAACACTGCTCACCCACATTAACATGTCACACCAGCCGTGGTGTATACATAACACTGTTCACCCACATTGTTAACATGTCCAGTAGATGTACACCAGCCGTGGTGTATACATAACACTGCTCACCCACATTGTTAACATGTCCAGTAGATGTACACCAGGGTGGTGTATACATAACACTGCTCACCCACATTGTTAACATGTCCAGTAGATGTACGCCAGCAATAGTGTGTACATAACACTGCTCACCCACATAGTCTTAGGTTATTAAGAGTAGGACATGGAAAAACAAGTGAATTTCATTTTCTATACCTCTTTTACACAACATACAAATCCATTCATTTTTATCAATCCCTATTTTTCTACCTTCCTTGATCATCAATTCTGACAAACCCAATCTGAATCTAACAAGAAAGTCACATAACCTTCCAGAAATTAAAATGGAATGGTAATTTTCGGGTTTAAGAAGACTTTTAAGCGATCTGTAAGATTCATATCGTGGACCTTCGTTAAATTCAAAAGCCAATTTTGATGAAATATATTTATGGAGCGTTCCTTGAATTCGTTAAAAAATATATATGAACATTACCAACTGTCTGGGACAACCAGACAATGCCAGAACCGTATGAGAATAAAAGGTTTTGAATGTGTGAAGCCCATGTTACCTTACCTACATTGTCTAAGTGTAGGAGGAAATTGTAGGCAATGTTTTCCAGGTATAGACAGATCGGTTCCAGGTCGTTCCACCCCAAGTCATTTCACCCGGGTCGTTTCACCCCCGTTGTTTCATCCCAGTTCCAAATTAGGTCAATTCATCCCACATTAGGGGTCGTTTCACCCCTAATCAAGAGTTGTTTCACCCCAACTAACTGAGTACACATGGAGAATGGTATTAATGCTTAAATCTGTTAATCCTAATTAGGCAATGTTTTTACAACAATCTGGTAATAAGTCTTGGGGAGAAAATTTAATTTCAACTTTTTGAAGGAATTCCTCTCATTAAGAAAAAGCATTCATGGTTTATGGGAAAAAGGGGAGAAATCTGCTGGAAATTGAAATTAAATCATGAATGTTACTTTTTGGGGGAAAACTCATTTCAGAAAAGGCTTATAAATTTTCTCTCCTAGTTTATGAATATATATACATGATACAACTTGTAACACATCTGGCTATAAAAGGATCAAAACTCCCCCAAATGAAAGAGTATGTACTCTCTGTAATGCAAACGAAGATCCAGGATCCAACAAAGCCAATATGAACTGATATAATTATTCAAACAATCTGAATATGCTGTTTCGACACTATACATAGATGAATACATAGATTGAAACAATTTTATAGTTGATAATAATATTTTTTGGGGGTGGGTGGGTGAAACAATGTCTAAATGGGGTGAAACTGTATGGGGTGAAACAAGCCGGGTGAAAAGACTTGGGGTGAAATTGTGCTGGGGTGAACGTGTTTGGGGTGAAATGACCGATTACTGACAGATCTAATGGGGATTTCTTGAAGTTGATTGTGTGAGAAAATACCAAACCAAGATATGTGTAGGAATTAATAACATTGACAGGCTTTCCTTGAAAACTTTTTCATGTGTATATGTCAAATAAATACTACAATCTTATTTTTTTTCCAAATTTACCGATAGTTTTCATTTCATACTATATTTTCCCGAATTATTCAGTTGTGTTTTTAGTCCAAGAACAGAGTCTGATATTGATATTACATCATCAGCAAACTGAAGAATTAGAAGTTCTTAAACTAGGGAATATTTGTACACCTTGTTTACCATAAATTAAGAATTTCAAAGTACAATTCACTGATGAAAAAGGAAAACAGAATAGGACTAAGCATGCCTCCCTGATGCAGCAAATTAGGGCAGTTAAAATAGTCTATGAAATCATATCCACAATGAAAACATGATTTGACATTTGTGCACATAGCCTGATGGAATATACATTTGTGATACATGAACTTTTGTGATACATTGCCTCAATACAGAACTAGCAACCGAGTCAAATGCTTTTTCAAAATCTACAAAAGCTACATATAGTTTATGCTTTTTGAATGATAACCGTCTTTTGATTAAACTCGGTATCTTGTACAATACAGAATGGGATGAGTCTGCCAAATGGTACTGAGATCATTCGTAATTTGTCTGCAGATTAAAATCACAAGATATTATGTTTACCCATAACCTTCGTTACCTATATGGCCCTTTCCATTCATTTCCGTCACCCTCAGGCATGACTAGATAAGTTTGCACAATAAGTAACAGTATGGATGAATAACAATTTCTTACACATAGAGTTGGTAAAACCCTTTGGGCTGAAGGTGAGAGATGTCCTGGGTTGGAGAGCCAAACCACTACTGCCTAACAGCCTAACATTTTCAAAACATTTTCATAAAGTTTCATAATAAGTTTTCAAGAATAGTTTTGTCAATACATTTTTGTAACATTTTACAAATGTGGTGAAACAATGCATTATTATGGTGGCAAATGACATCCAAATGACGTCATACAATCATGTCATATTTTCTTTTATTACCCACGTGGTCAACGTATGGGTAGTTGCATACTAATCTTGTACGTCACACGAGTGTCTTATCGCGTTGACCTGAGTTGTAACGACTTGACCTGAGATTCTAACGATTTGATTGGATAACTGATGACCTTTCAATTAGTTCACGTTGTGACGGAGCTACTTTCTCATTTATTACAAACATGTGAATTCATTCATTCTACAACTTTTACTACATCAATTAAGTTAGACGCTATAACGTTATAATACTTCAGGGCAAAGTGTACTTTATTACATTATATATATGCTGGTAGAGTGAACTGTATTTTTTTTCTAAGATGCCAAATATAATTCTTTCTAAGGTTAATTACGATTAATCTCAAGCTGAAAACAAACAGAAAAACAACGGTGTTGGTGACCTAAATTAACTCGCTCAGGGCTAACTGACGTGCTGTTCTATTGACATATCTGCCCCCTATGTGCACACTACCAGAAAAAAAACAAATGATAAACAGTTTGATGACGGTTTATGTTTGGGTTAAATATCTTCTTTAAACTATTTTAATTACACATGTGATCAACGTAAACCACATGGGGCAATATGAACGTCGTATTTCTACTACCAACTTAAGTTTAGATCAGTGCATCCAGATGTTCAAAGCTGACTAGTCACGCCACATTCCACGGATGCATTGTGGGAATGTAAACATTGCATACGTTGCCGTGTCGCTGTTAAATTGTGAGTCGAACTGAGACATTTTATCAGTCGAAAAACATAAACGTAATGTTTCCGCCAGTGATGTTAGCCGTGTGAAGCAACTGCCAACCAAGAAACAGGATGATAAGGAGTAGTTTACTGCAGGTGGCTGTACAAGGCATGCATCTTGACGTCGTTTAACATGGGGGCAGACGAGAATGGCGTAGTAATGTCAATACAGTGTGACGTCATGCAAACATTCTTCCGCAATCTCTTTATGAAACTCGTGACCTTCCTATGGTATGGTATCAGATACCATAGGAAGGACACTCGTTTCGCATAATTCGTATGTAATGAGACCTCATGTAGTATTCTCTATATATGCCATCTTAGTTAAAGTTAATTCTGGACCTGCAACCAAGTGGAACAACTGGAACTGGTTTATTGACCTTACTTAGGATGCTTATTTCAGTCAGTGTGTTGATTTCTGTTATTCCGTGAAAATGAGGAATAAAAATAATTGAATACGTTCTATTTGACGTAACTGTAGGCTATTAGCTACTGTCATAATCTGCAATGCTAATGTTGAGTATTTATAAGTATTTTTATTAAGAAATGACAAGTACATTCTTGTCAGTTAGCACAAACTAAACTAAATGAGTAATATGTATTCTGCGCTATAACAGGGCATTAGTGATCACTGGTAGTTGAAGATGAGTTGGCACTGGCTTGTTAGTATTCAATTTAGTGTATCACAACACATTGTCAGTAACTTGGTCATTGTTTGTTGATTATTTATGTCAAAATGTTGATCTAATTGTGTTTTAAACAAGGAGATAGCTGCAGGCAATGTAAGCATGTGACACCAACAAAAACTTACATTGATTGGTTTCTTTTTTGTTTCTATTTTTTCACTATTTGGGTTTTACGAAGCTGTTAGCAATATTTCAGGAAAAGGTCATAGCAGGGGACACCAAAAATAGGCTTCACACATTGTACCCATGGCAGTAATAGAACCCAGGCCTTTAATGTGAGGAGTGAATGATTTAATCACTTGGCTACCCTACTGCCCCTGAACAGTCACATGACTAAAGGTTGAAGGTAAGTGTTGATAACATGTCTTCTTATGCTGTTTCTTGTAGTACAAGCCAAAAGTAACAGTGTCTGACTATTTCTCATATGTTTATTGTTAACAGTTAGTGTTTTACATTTTAAACTTGAGGAGTAATTGTTAACTAGCTTACTCTTTTCTTAGAAAATTAAATTAAATTTCATTAACTATTTAGACATAACTTTCATCTTATTGAATAGTGAATAGAGATGGGTTCTTGCTTACCTCAGACTAGTATCTTTGAAACTATATAGACTGACATATCTTTTTAAACAGTATGTCTGTGAAGTGGTTTGCTCCAACACACACAGTGACTTGGTTCGTTCCCAGCGCAACTTCGGCTGCGTTTAACAGTACTTCAGCCAGTGTATTGTATCAGTCGGAATTTTACAATGAATGAATGAATGAATTAAGAG